TGTACCATTTTACCTTCCTACTGGAAATGCACCAAAAGTTCCAGTTTCTCCATATCCATGCCAACATTTGATAATAGTCATCCTAATGAGTCTATCTCATTTTAGTTTTGATTTGCATTTTTCCCTAATGATTTGTGATATCAAGCATTTTTTCATGTGCTTTCTGGTTATTTGCATATCTTTTTTAGAGAAATGCCTGCTTAAGTCCCTTCCCTCTTTTTACATTGGGTTGTCTTTTTGTTGTTAAGCTGCTGTAAGACCTCTTTATATGTCCTGCTGCAATTACTCAACTTTGCCATTGTAGTGTTGAAGCTCCCATAGACAATGTGTATATGATGAGAATGTCACTTTGTTTCAATAAAATTTTATTTACAAAAATAGGTGACAATCCGTGTTTGGCCTACAAGCTGTAGCTTACCAAGCCCTGCTTTAGGGCAGCAGTTCTCAAACTTTTTAGTCTCAGTACACTTTAAATTCTTATTGAGGACTCCAGAAATCTTTATATATATATACATAGATATATGTGTGTATATATATATACATACATGCACACATATATATACACATATATATACACATATATATATATATTTTTACTATTTTAGAAATTATAGATGAAGAACTTTAAATTATCTAGTTATTCACTAAAAATAAACAATAATTAACCTATTATGTGTTAACAACATAGATAGCAATTTTATGAAAAATAAATGTTTCTTCCCAAATAAATAAAAAAATATAGTGAGAAGAGTGTCATTGTTAACATTTTTTTGTGAACTTCTTTGGTGTCTGAGTTAAAATGGCTGGAGTCTCATTTCTGCTTCTTCATTGAATCTTTTACAACATCCCATGTCAGCCTCTGGAAAACTTGACTACATATTCAGAATGCTTCTGAAAAAGGCAAATTACACCTGAGTAATATTAAGAAAATAGTTCTGACTTGCTGATCCTCTGAAAGTGTCTTGAGGTCCTTTATAGGTCCCCAGACCACTCTTTAAGATCATTTCTCTTGGGCAAGATTAGCCTCATTATTAAGGCTAATTATGCATTAAGGTCTCATATAGCTTTTCAAAACATGGTCTTTGTTGTTGTAGTCTTCAGTGAAAACTTTCATTTTAGCATCCTGTTAATGTTGATACAGAGGACATTTTTCACTTTTATACTAGGAACATATACGGCAGAATATAGTTATTTATAAATATTTGCTTCTGATTTAAACAAGTATGTGGACTCTGCTTATTTTATGTCTCAGCCTCCTGGTAATAATGTATCTGGCATGTTAAGAAGAATGATTAAAAAACATGTTTTTTAACTATTTTGTTCTTTACATTTAGCTTTAAATGTAAACCTATCATCTATCACATATATTTAAGTTTCGTACCTTAGCATTTATTAGTTACTTCTATATAATGTAGTCACGTAGACATAGATTAAATGCTGGCTCTATGCTTTACTAGATGTGTAAACAAGGACTACATACTTAACCTGATGTGAACCTCAGTTTCTTCATCTGTAAGACACAGTAATGCTGTATTAGTTAGAAATCAGAACTTTTAGTAACAGAGCTTTTGATAATGGTGTTTTCTACAAAGTGGAAATGTATTTCTTCTACCTCTTGGTGTAAGAGGAGCCTGGCAGCCCAGGAGTGCTGTGGCAGCCCCACAGTGTGTTTGTGGACCCAGTTTCCTTCTCTTTTTACATTCCTCCATTCTTAGCTTGTGGATTGTATCCTCAAGGTTGTCTTATGGTGCAAGATGCCTAGTGGAATTCTATCCATCATGTCCATATCCCAGGTAGCAGGAAGGAGTAGATGAGAAAAGCAAAAGGGGCATGTTTTTCTTTTAAAGAAACCTTCTTTATTATACACTATCATTTTGTTTAAATCTTACTGGCCGTAACTTAGTCATGTGGTCCTACCTAATTTTAAGGGAAATTAGATCTTTTAGCCAGATGTTAGGAAGAAAGAGGGGATAAAGGGATTTTAGGTTAGGCAACTAGGAATATCTTTCACTAATGTCTTCCATTGGAATTTGATGGGTTCCAAACCAGATGAGAAATTATACATGCTCGGTATCTGTGGTAGCAGGAGGAGGCCAAAATACCAACTTTGTAAAACTGACAGAACTGATGTTTGAGAAACATAACTGCGTTATATCTTCAGTCAAGTGTGTTTCCTGATATTGAACCCTAGAATTAAACTGCCTTACCTATCCAGTTATACCATTAGACCAGGTAGCTTGTGCCTCTATTAAATTGGTGGCTTGAAGGAACAAAGCAAATATTTGGTTCTTGCCAGAAGCTCCTTCTCAGGAGAAAGGGTGTAGTAGTCGAAAGGATAGAAAGTGTTACGTACTTATTTCTGATGATGTAAGTAACACTTAACACTTAACTCTTCCTTCTTCTCTCTGGCCAATATTTTATGCTACAAATATAGCATTATGCCTGGCATTTAGTGACTATTCACTATGTAGTGAGTATTATGATAATGATGATTTGAGCTACTGCCACTATATGTAATAGTCTGTATATTTAATCTTTTCACATACGTTGCTAAAAAATAATATTAAATATTTTAAAAATTCATCATGAGATAAAATTGATAAATGGTTTAAAAAATTTTTACTCTGCCTTTTAATCATTTTAAACTGTGGGTCAGGTCACAGTTTCCTATGCAAATTTAATGAAACTATGTATATAGAAAATTATACATATGATTTCTGTGGCTACATGAATCTTATGATAACTCATGATTTAGATAAAATTTAAAGAACTACAAACACCTACCTATTACTGTAAACTCATATCAATGAGCTAAGCACAGTTAATTAAAAGGAAGTTTTGGTTAAGACCATGTGAGGTAGACAGACACATTTTTTTATTCCAAGTGTGCCCTTCTACTAGCTTTTTGACCCTAAGCCAGTTATTAACCTGAGTGTTAGTTTTTTTTTTTAATCAGAAAAACGGAGATAATAATAGTTCCTAATTTCACAACATTGATAAATAAATGAGACGATATATATAGAGCATTACTTCTAGGCCAGACACAAAATATTCACTTGCTCTTTGCTATTACTGTTTTTATTAGCATTAGTGTTTTTAGTATTCTTTGCCTTTCTAACCTTGCCCTCATCAACTTGAAGGCAGCGAGTAAGTGTACCTGAATTTCACAATTTAGAAATATAGTTATTGTGAGCAAAAAAACTTGATCCTTTAGATCTGCCTTTCTTTTCTTCCTTAAAAAAAATTATTCATCTTTGTGATCTTTGATCTCTCCACGAAAGATCATTTACTTCCTGCTTGTGGCTCACCAAGGAAAAAGGTCTTCAAAAATTTCCTGTCTTTCTTTGCTTCCTCTCCTGTCTCCTTCCTGGCTCAGCAGAAAGAGAAAGATGTCAGTTTGATACCTTTGGCCTCTTTTAAAAACCTGGTAATGTTATTTATGCTGTCAGCAGTTCCTGGGTATTTAATGTTTTACCTCTTGATCTGAGGAAAAGTCCTTAACTTTCCCTGTTCCTTTCTAATGAATAGCTGATGCTTCAGAAGTTTGGTCTCCACACTAAGAGCTACAGATCCCCTGCTGTTTTTATAGTCTGACTTTTGACACAGACTACTTGTGTTCAAGGAGCTCATTGTTACTAAGTTAGTGCCAGTTTATACTAGAACTTAACTTTTAAAGCACATGTAAATAGATTTCTTAATGGGTTTTTGGGTCGGCTTTTAAAATCATCTAGGTCTCCCCCCCAGCCAAATAGCACATTCTCATTCTGAAAAATTGTTCAGGATATATAAAAATCATAAAGAAGAAAATAAAGATCTCCTATAGCCCCATCCCATGAAAACAGTCAATTTTACTATTTTTGGATAATTCCACCAAGGTCTTTTTCTATACACAAATATAGATTTACATGCCTTTAAAAATTTGTTGTTTTCCCTCAAATGTGATTCTTCTGTATATATTGTTTTGTAATCTTTTTTCCTACTGTAAGTATATTAGGTACATGATTATTTTGAATAGTTGTATAGCAGTTCGTTGAATGGATATATTGTCATTTATTTAATCAGTTCCCTACTGCCATGGATATTTAGGCTATTTTTAATTTTTTAATGATATAATCACAGGACAAGATTTTTCTGCATCTATTTTTTTCTCCAAGGCCAGCCTTCATTAGAAATCAATTTTTGAGTAATTGTGTTACCATATTTTAATGTGTTCTTAGAAGTTGAGTAAGTGGATCAAAGGTTGTATTTCTACTAACTGGCGATGAGAGTGCCTTTTTCTAATCAAATTTGAGTTTTGTCGGTCATATAAATATTTTACATTATGATAAAACTAATATCTTTGTGTTTTAATTTCTCCTTTGATTATTAGACATTGAACGTATTTTCATGGTTTTTTTTTGGCCACTTGCATTCTTTTCTGAGGTTAATTTGCTCTTATGTATTTCTTCTTTCCCTGGGATATGTATATTTTAAAATCAATAGCGAAAGAAAGAAAAAAAAATCAATAGCAGAATTTTATTTCTTGCATTAAAACTAGGTTATTCTTTCTGTTTTTTTTTTTTTAAAGATAGTTTTCTCTTTGCTAGACTCAGTTTCTCACTTAGTTAGTTATTTTCAAGTATTAGCATGGGAAATGAAGTAAGTACCTAGTAAAGGAAACCAAACTTATGAGAATAATTTCTTTGTCTAAAATACAAATGAAGAGGATGGTAATCCTTAATGCTTGTTTGCATGATAAAGTCCCTAATTTGGCTTAACTGATACTTCTTTGCTTACATCTGGTTCTTGACCGTGTTCTACGTAGAAGATGTCTGTATAATGAAAAATTTTCTGGACCTATGCCTTTGTTTTTGATTTTTATTGTTGAAATAAAAAGACCTGAAAATGTTGATTCAAATACTCCCTTTAGCAAACTATGATTTTTAAAATCAGAAGATAAGGTGCATTGGAAATAATTTTTTATGATGAAGTACATGTTATTTTTACTTCATTGCTTTTAGAAGAAAAACAACAGTGAAGACATTATGTATTTATGCAGACTACAAATCTGATGAAAGCTATACTCCAAGCAAGATCTCAGTCAGAGTAGGAAATAATTTTCACAACCTTCAAGAAATTCGGGTATGTCTTTCAAATTTTTAAAAATATGCCGTCCTTTAACTTTTACTCGTTAGAAGATGGTCTAAGTTGACATTACATTAGACAGGTTATAATATTAATATATAAAAGAAAAGTTGTTAATATTGGAGAAAACATGTTCGAGTGTATAATTTATTTTCTTTTGAATTCTGATTGTTCTCTTTATTTTTTCCACAATATTTTATTGTGGAAATTATTAGACATACAGAAAATCTCAAAGAATTGTGCAGTGAAACCCCAATATACTCACCTCCTAGATTCTTCACTTGTTAATGTTTTGCTGTGTTTGCTTTATTACAATCTGTTCATTTAATTTTTTTGTGCATTTAAAAATAATTTGCTGGTGTTTTTCCATTTCACTCCAAATACCAGCCTGATGACATATTGGTAGAGTTATCAACATTTGCTTAATGTTCATTTTTTAAGATAAAATTTATGAACAATTTTGCATAATCGTAAGTATATTATTTGGTGAGTTTTGAGAAACACATACATTTATATAATCCCAACTCCTGTTAAAATATAGAACATTTCCACCATTCCAGAGAATTCTGTCGTACCTGTTCCTAGTCAGTCTTCATCTCTATCCGACCCTTAGAAATAACAATTATACTGATTTTATTTATGGATTTTTTTAATCATAGATCCATATTGCCTGTTTTACAATGTCATATGAATGGAGTCATACAAGATATAACTTTTATGTAAGGCTTCTTTCACTCAGCCTAGGTTTTTTGAGATTCACTGATGTTGCATGTGTCAGTACTCCATTCTTTTTTACTTCTGAGTTGTATTTCATTGTTCCAATGTACCACAATGTATTTATCCTGCATGACGTTATTAGCACAGTGCTTTAGTCCTGAAGTATTTCAGAGATGTTTTCAATGACTTTGAACTACATAATTGTGAAGCTCTGTTGACATTTTTTGGTCAGAAAATCATTAAGCCCAAATAATCATTAAAATCTGGTGGTTCTGAGAGATTTGGGAAGCACTTGTGATCTCAAAAGGCCTCCAGTTAATTTGTGGTCTTGGCTTTTATTCGATTTAGTGTTTATATTAAGGCTGGGTCTCGGCTGGGCGCGGTGGCTCATGCCTATAATCCGAGCACTTTGGGAGGCCTTGGCAGGGGATCACGAGGTCAAGGGTTTGAGACCATCCTGGCCAACGTAGTGAAACCCCGTCTCTACTAAGAAAAATTTAAAATATTAGCTGGACATGGTGGCAGGCGCCTGTAATACCAGCTAGTTGGAAGGCTGAGACAAGAGAATCTCCTGAACCTAGGAGGCAGAGGTTGCAGTGAGCCAAGATTGTGCCAGCCAGGGCCACAGTATGAGACTCCGTCTCAAAAAAAAGACTGTCTCTAAATTTATATTTCTTATCAGAGTTAGTAATAAAATACTTAATGCAAATCACATGTAGTTTAATTGTTTTCCTATTAAATCAGTGTTGTTCTCTTGCAATATTTGGATATGTACTGACAAAAAAGAACAGGTGAGGATGTTGTCCAAAGTATTCTTGTTGTCATTTTGTCCTTTGAGATATTTATTTTTTAAAAAAAATATATTAAATAAAAATTGTATGTATCATGTACAGTACGATGTTTTGAAATATATATATTTTGTAGAATGGCTAAATCAAGCTAATTAACATATGCATGACCTCACATACCACTTTTTGTGGTGAGACAAATCCACTTCTTAGCAATCTTCAAGAATATAACACATTGTTATTAATATAGTCACTGTGTTACATACTGGATCTCTTGAGTTTATTCTTCCTGTGTAACCAAAATTTTGTACCCTTTGACCAATGTCTCCCCAATTTGTCCCTCCACTGTAGCCCCTAGAAACCATCATTCTCCTCCTGCTTCTGAGTTCAGCTTTTTAAGATTCCATATGTGAATAAGATCGTGTTATATTTGTCTTTCTGTACCTGGCTTGTTTCATTTAACATAATAGTGTTCTCCACTTCCATCCACATTGCTGCAAATGACAGGATTTCCTTCTTTTTAAGGCTGTATAATATTTCATTGGGTATATATACCCCCCATTCATTTATTCATTAATGAATATTTAGGTTGATTCTGTATCTTAGCTATGTGAATAATGCTGCAGTGAACATGAGAGTGTCATCTTACTGACATCTGAACTCAAGCTTGTTACTTTGAGATGACTTTTTTGAGATGGAGTCTCACTGTCTTGCACAGGCTGGAGTGAAGTGGTGCAATCTTGGCTCACTGCAATCTCTGCTTCCCAGGTTCAAGCAATTCTCATGCCTCAGCCCCCTGAGTAGCTGGTATTACAGGAATGCGCCACCATGACCAGCTAATTTTTTCTATTTTTAGTAGAGACGGAGTTTCACTGTGTTGGCCAGGCTGGTATCGAACTCTGGCCTCAAGTGATCTGCCTATCTTGGCCTCCCAAAGTGCTGAGATTACAGGCGGGAGCCACCATGGCCGGCCCTTAGTTTACTTTAAAAAAACTTTTCTTAAAAATGAATTTCAGCTTCTGAAATGTTGAAAAATTTCCATGTTGTAAATTAGATAGTTTTAATTTAAAAACATTTCTTCATTTGTGTGACAGGCCATGCTGGTTGCTCTGTACTTCCCATGCTTGAATAGATTCATAAATAAATCAGCTCTTAGTTTTCTTCAATCCTTCCATTCACTCAGTGCTTTTAAAATTCAGAATATTGAAACTTTTTAAAATTATAATCTTTTTTTTTTCTTTTTTTTGACGGAATCTTGCTCCGTTACCCAGGCTGCAGTGCAATGGCCTGATCTCAGCTCACTGCAGCCTCTGCCTCCCGTATTCAAGTGATTCCCCTGCCTCAGTCTCCTTTGTATTTTTAGTAGAGACGGGGTTTTGCCATGTTGGCCATGCTGGTCTTGAACTCCTGACCTCAAGTTATCCACCCACCTTGGCCTCTCAAAGTGCTGAGATTATAGGTTTGAGCCACCGCACCTGGCCTCTTATTATTGGACCAATTGATAACCTTCCTCTAGTCACATATTTGATACATTTAATCAGTGTTTAGTTCTCTGATGACATATTTAATTCTACTTTATTAAAAATTTCACATTATCAAATGATTGGCTCACTCATATTGATAAGCTTTTTGTAAGTGGATGTGGCTTGTTTGGATTTATAACTAAAGGTTTGTCATATAGTTCATATATTGCAAGTGAAACACTAGCAATAAAATGTTTTGTTTTGATATAAGTGCTATATATTGGAAATGTCCACCAGATGTCACTGTTGACCTTTATTTTCTAGTTTCATAGCCTATTTGTAAGAAGTTCAAGACCTCAAGTAAACTTAGTTGTACTGGTTTTTCCTGGAGAATATACATTCAAGAACTCTTCAATGCATTTTTGGGAAATGTACATATTTATATGACATTTCTAGGTATTTGTATTAAGGATGTTTTGTATTCTGTTGTAAATTTTACTAACATTAAATAAGGATTTTGAGAAGTTAATGAGAAATTCTAAGTGATATTTGGACCTTGTAAAATACTTTTAATCTAGTCTTTGCTTCTATTATGTCATTTAAGTGCTGAAACATTAGTCATATAGAAAAAGGGCCCTTATAGGTAGTCTCTTAATTTTTTCTAAGTGTGTTTATATTTCTGTTTAGTAACCACATAGCCTCATGAGACCAGTAATACAAAATATTACCAGGTGATAATGTGAGTTGTTTTCCTGAAAAACTTAATGAACATACTACTTTTCTGCCCCATAGTTCTCACTAAGGAACCATAATTTTTGAATGTTACTTTAAATTATTAATGCCTGGCTTTTGCAGCTCATATGAATACTTTTATCTTTTAATTATATATCTTTGTATGAGATTTATACAATTTACCTTTTTTTCTTTGTGAGTTAAACAAATAAGAGCCTGATAGCACTTTGCTTTTAAAGGAAGATGAAGTAGATCATGATTTTATTTTTTTTGTTACTCTACCACAATATTGAAATATAAAAAAAAATCTTTACTGCATCTAACTCAGATACTAAAACAAGTGATTAAAATAGTGTGAACTTTTATGAGGTTTTTAGAGCCATCATTTCATTAGTTATAATACTGATTTAACTGAGTGGAAAATCCACCTAAGTCTTTTTATATTTTTCCATGGATGCTTGCCCACTGGAGGGTGTAGTGTAGTGTAGTTTTAATAGATTTTCCTTTTTTTTTTTTTTTTACTAGAAATTATGAATTTGTTTACTTGAAATGCTTTAGAGACTTATTTTTTTGTAATTGTTGATTTGAAGTAGTAATTTCAAAAAATAGTCTAAGATGAGAAAAGCTAATAGCTGCCTTACTTATCAAAAAGTTATCCTTTTTCTATCCTGTTTATTTTCCTTCATTTTAGTTATGAAGCATATATTGTATCCAGATCTTTGTTACTTCTGTTGATAACTCTTCACAAAGGCATCAGGCCCTTTCTTTAATAACCTAGAATGTGTATTTAAACCACGGTGTCTGAGGACTTACATTGAACTTTCTGCTGAATAGTCACAAGATTCTAAAACTGGATTTGGGCAAACAAAATATTTTTAATGACAAAATTGAAATTATTTGTGCTTCTCCTTCTACTTTCTTGTATTCAAAATATCCCATTCCACATAAATTGAAAACCAGCAATTTAAGAACAATTTATAAGATGTTTGCAATTTATTGCTTCTACACAAGAGACTATTTCTGTATAGAATTGACAATATAGAATTTTAGAGTCTACTTTGTCTTTCTTTGCAGAATGCTTCATCTTAGTTGGGTAACTTTTGTGCGTAAGTCATGTTATTCAAGAGAAAAATCAAGATGGTAGTTTTTAAATTCTTAAATCCTTTGCATTTTCGCAATATGTTTTGGTTTAATGTTCTTTTCTTTTGCTGTCAGAAGAGAAAATAATGTGTGAGATAAATTTTTCTTTTTATTATTTACAGCAGTGGACCAAAGAACATTATATTTTAGATGTGAC